CTGATTGGGACACCCAGGTGCCCCTTGAGGATGACTTTTTGTTTGTTTGTTTGTTTAAAGATTTTATTTAGGGGCTCCTGGGTGGCTCAGTTGTTAAGCGTCTGCCTTCAGCTCAGGTCATGATCCCAGGGTCTTGGGATCGAGCCCCGCATCGGGCTCCCTGATTAGCCGGGAGTCTCCTTCTTCCTCTCCCACTCCCCCTCCTCCCACTGTTCCTGCTCTCGCTGTGTCTCTCTCTGTCAAATAAATAAAACTTGAAAAAAATATATAAAGATTTTATTTATTTATTTGACACAGAGAGAGAGACAACACCCAAGCAGGGGGAGCAGCAGGCAGAGAGAGAAGCAGACTCCCCGCTGAGCAGGGAGCCCAATGCGGGGCTTGATCCCAGGACCCCGGGATCATGACCTGAACTGAAGGCAGATGCTTAACCAACTGAGCCACCCAGGCACCCCGAGAGATACGATTTATAATTGCTCCAAATAGTATCTCGCCAACACTTGCCAAGACTGGGTTTTTGCAACTTTTTGGAGAAGGGAGAAGGTTGGTGATGATCCAGTAGGGACAAATGGTGTCTTGTGTTCATTTACATTTCTTTAGTTCTCAGGGAAGCTGGATATTTCATATTTTTATAGCTCTTTTGTGTTCTATTCTTGTCCAGTTTTTCTGTAGGGTTTGTCTCTTACCGCTTTAGAAAAGCTTTTAGGACTTTAAGGAAAGTTTTCTAGTGCTTTTGTGGTTTCACTGTTTGTATGAAAATGTTTGATCCATCAGGTTTAATGTGATGTTAGGAGCAAAGCTGGGCTCCAGCTTGATTTTCTTCCGGATGGCTGAGCCATTGTCCTGATGCCATCTACTGAACTCTTACTGGTGCTGTGCATTCATTTAAAATGCCTCTGTTGCATACTAGATTCTAATATGGGTTTGGGCAGTCCTAAACTGTTTTGATGGTTGTAGCATTTGCTTGCTTGTTTTTAATTTCTTTTTGAACTATTTTTGGTATCTACTGGGGCTTTGGCAGCTCACCAGTTTTAAAGCAAGCTTGGGGGGATGCCTGGGTGGCACAGTCATTAAGCGTCTACCTTCAGCTCAGGTCATGATCCCAGGGTCCTGAATTCAAGTCCCGTGTCGGGCTCCTTGCTCAGTGGGGAGCCTGCTTCTCACTCTGTTTCCTGCTCCCCCTGCTTGTGCTTTCTCTCTCTCTCTGACAAATAAATAGATAAAGTCTTTAAAAAAGAATAAAATAAAACCAAGCCTGGGGAAAGACTTGATACCGGGAAAGACAAAGGCTCTGGGAGTCCAACAGGCCAGGATTTGAATCCCAGGTATACAGGTTATCAGCTTTTTTCCCCCTGGGCAAATTGTTTAACGTTACTGTGCTGGTTTCTTGCCTTTAAAATCAGATGAGGATTGAAGGAGCTGTCTGTTGCCAGGAAAGCCCCCGGGGCTGCTGTTAGGCTTCTGCTGGCTGTGTGGCGGTTCTCTCCTGGGCCTGAGCTTGAGAGGGCCAGGGTGCGGAAATGTGCAGGCCCAAGGCCTGGAGCTCAGGTCCCCCCACCCCCAATCCTCCGGCCGGTCCATTAGCAGGGCCTGCTCAGCCCTCTCCCACAATCTACTCTTCTGAGGGAAAGCTGTCCCCATGGATCTAAAGGGCGGCTGAGGTATGGGTGGGCAGTGTGTGGACAGACTGCAGACATCTGGCTTAGGGCATCCACCTATGTGCCAGTGGGTCCCTCCCTATAAGAATAGAGGGGGGCTGGTAGGAATAGAAGAGGGGGTTCAGGGGCTCCATCCGTACTGTTGCTCTGAACCCCTCCAATGTGAGGGGTGGGCCTCCTTCTTTTCTCCTTTCTCTCTCACTGATAGATTGCCGGCAGGGGGCGGCAGGGTGGGGGAAGTGGGGAGGAGTGGGATGTATTCATCTGTTCAATGAGCAGGGACTGGGAACCGACTGACTGGGTGTCTTAGCTGCCCAGGGCTGCCCTAATAAAGTACCACAAAGCGAGTGGCTTAAAGCAGCACAGGTGTATCATCTGACCATTCTAGAGATGAGAAATCCAAACACAAAGTATCAGCAGAGACATACTGTTTATGAACGCTCTAGGGGAACATGTGGTCCCTGCGTTTCTCTTAGCTTCTTGGAATGGCTGCCAGGCCCTGGTGTTCCTTGGCTTATAGACATGTCACTCCCACCTCTGCCTCCCTCCTCATGTGCTTGCTTTCTGGGCGTCTCTCTCCTGCAAAGGACACCGGTCCTATGGGGTCAGGACCCGCCCTCCTAGCCTCATCTTGACTTGATTGCATCTGCAAAGACCCTATTTCTAAAGAAGGTCATGTGTTCAGGTAAGGGGTTAAGACTTGAACAGATCTTTTTTTGGGGGGGTGGGGGTGGGGGGCCACAATTCAACCCAGCCCTGGAAACTTGACCATCAGCGGGGCATGAGCTGGAGGTCTGCAGGCAGCCGAGGTCGGGTGAGGCTGTGACAGCCTCATGGGCCATCTGGCCGGGGCTGGGGTGGTGATAGGACTGAGTGCTGGGCCTGGAGGGGCTCCTGTCACTAGGCTGTAGGGCTTGGGCACTGACGCTCCCTTCCACGCCCCCAGCTGGTGGCCCAGGGCAGGCAGTGACATGTGGCTCTCATTTCTGGCGGGATATAATTAGAAGGGAGGCCTGGACTTTTGGAAGCCAGAGGCGCCCTGGGGACCGCCTAGTGCAGACATTTCACGGACGGGAAGCCGAGGCACTTCCCTGAGCCGCTCCGTGTTCTGTGTCAGGTGCCGGCGGAGATGGGCAGCGAGGGGGGGCTATGGGCCCCTCGGCTCCCTTGGGGTAGGGGAGGGGGTGGCTGCGGTCATTCGCCCCCGGGGCCTTGATCAAAGCCTGAAGCAGGGTCTACGCCAGGCCGCCAGTATCCGTCCACAGTGTGTTTTTCTCCGCTGAGATTTTGTTTTTTAATCTGGGGCTGCCTGGAGGAAGAGGTGGGGTGGGTGAGGGGAGGGTATCACCCTGTGTCAGTCTGACTCACGCTGCCACCATCCCGGTGCCTGTGGGTGTCAGGAGGGGTGGCCTTTGTCTCTTACCCTTGGCCGTGGGCTTTGCCCGCTCCCAGGATCTTTCCTCTGCTGGAGACTCTTCTCTGGCGTTTACTCTCCTGTTTTGGTAAAGCTTGGCGGGGCTGTAACTGTGTGTGTGTGTGTGTGTGTGTGTGCGCGCCCGCGCTTGCATAGGTGCGCGTGTACTGCCCCCTTTGCGGGGCACCATGCTGCCTCCCCGCTGTTGAACAGGATTCTGGAGTCCGTGCTTCCTGAACATGTTCTGTTCTGGCGCCCTCTCTCCGCGGCCCCCTGGAACCAGCATCCGCAGGCCCGCCACACTTACGCCACCGCGGAGCTCGTTTCGTTCCCTAAATAGCTCATCCCCACGCAGCACCATCCTGGGCTCCGGCTGCAGGTCACAGCTAAGGCCAGGGCCCACGGGGACAGCGTGGGCACCCAGGGGCTGGAAGGCTGAGCAGCCAGACTCTTTGCACTTTCCATTCATTCCAGAACATGTACTGAGCACCTGGAGTGTGGCAAAGTCTGTGCTAGGCATTGGAGGGAGCCATAGTGAACTAGAGAGAGAAAGCCCTTGCCTCCCCAGAGGTTCCTAAGACCTGGCAGAAGATGGAACTGGCACCTGGGAGGGCATCTGGGAGAACCTGCTCCCGACTGTGATTTGCCATTTGCCGGGTGGGTGGGGGAAGGGTGCCGGGCATGCCTTGAGGTAAGGAGAGGAGGGGCGAGGTCAGGGCCAAAGTCGCTAGGTGGCGGGGCCCACTGGGATGGCCACCCTCAGTGCTCACTGCAGCCATGCTCACTGTTGGGGATCTGCTGTGTTACGACACAGAAAGCTCCAGAAGGGCATACCTGGCAGGGAGTCAGTGCTCGGAAAACACTGGAGTGAATAAACTTCGCGGGGGGGGGGGGGTGAGGTGCGGGGGAGTGTTGGTGGGAGCATGGCAGGAGTTTAAATTGGGGAGTAGGTACCCCTGGCTGGCTCAGTCGGAAGAGCATGCGATTCTTGATCTTTTTTTTTTTAAGATTTTATTTATTTATTTGAGAGAGAGCGAGCACAAGTAGGCAGAGCGGCAGGCAGAGGGAGAGGGAGATGCGGGGCTCTATGGGATCATGACCTGAGCCGAAGGCAGACGCTTAACCATCTGAACCACCCAGGCGCCCCGCAACTCTTGATCTTGGGGTCGTGAGTTTGAGCCCATGTTGGGTGTAGCGATTACCAAACAAACAAACAAAAAACCCTAAAAATAAATAAGTAGGGGCAACTGGGTGGCTCAGTCAGTTGAGCATCAGACTCTTGGTTTTGGCTCAGGTCGTGATCTCAAGGTCGTAGGATCAAGCCCCTTCATGCTCAGCAGGGAGTCTGCTTGGGATTCTCTCTCTCCCTCCCTCTGCCCCTCCCCCCCACGCATTTTCTCTCTCTCTCTCTCTCTCTCAAATAAATACATAAATAAATCTTAAAAACAAATAAATTTAAAAAGGGGCTCCTGGGTGGCTCAGTCATATAAGTGTCCGACTCTTGATTTTGGCTATTTTGGCTCAGGCTCAGGTTGTGTTCTCAGGGTCGTGGGATCGCTCAGTGGGTAGTCTGCTTGGGATTCTCTCTCGCCCTCTGCCCCTCCCCCTCCTCCTCCCTAAAATAAATAAATAAAATCTTTTTTTTTTTAAGATTTTATTTATTTTAGGGGAGCCTGGGTGGCTCAGTCGTTAAGCGTCTGCCTTCAGCTCGGGTCATGATCCCGGGGTCCTGGGATCGAGCCCCGCATTGGGCTCCCTGCTCCTCGGGAGCCTGCTTCTCTCTCTCCCACTCCCCCTGCTTGTGTTCCCTCTCTCGCTGTGTCTCTGTCAAATAAATAAATAAAATCTAAAAAAAAAAAAAAAAAAAAGATTTTATTTATTTGACAGAGAGAGAGACAGCGAGAGAGGGAACACAAGCAGGGGGAGTGGGAGAGGGAGAAGCAGGCCTCCCGCGGAGCAGGGAGCCCGATGCGGGGCTCGATCCCAGGACCCTGTGATCATGACCCGAGCCGAAGACAGACGCTTAACGACTGAGCCACCCAGGCACCCCAAATAAAATCTTTTAAAATAAATAAACTTAAAAAACTAGTAAAATAAATTGAGGAGTAAGCCAGTTAGCTTTGTGCTTTTGGAAGATCATTTGGCCACCGTGGGAAAAGAGGGGCGTGGACAGTGGAGCCTGGGGATGGGGGAGAAAGATGAGCCATGAGAGGAGCCCAGGGTGGTGGGCGTGAGGCCTGCGCTCAGGGAATCTGTGTGAGCGATGTGTAGGACACGGCAGGACTTTGAGACTGGGTGTGGTAGTGGGGAAGCGGGCAGGTGGGGAGAATTTCTAAAGTGGCCCCCCAGAGAGGTCCTGCCCTAAACCCCAGAACGTATGAGTGCTGGGGTATCCCCTGCTGTGAGCATGTTATTTGGAACCCTGACTGTCCTGGATTATCCAGGCTGGAAAGCAGAGCACTTCTTTGGCTGGTGGCAGCGGGACAGCCAGAGCTTAGAAACCGGCTGTGAAGATGGGAGCCCTGGGCAAGGACCGAAGAGGAGCTGCAAGGAGCTGGAGGGACCCCGGCGAGGAGGAAGGGGGAACCCACTCCAGCGGGTTCCCATAAGGCACTGAATCCTGCCAACAACAGGAACGAGCTTGGAAGAGGAGCCTGAGTGCCAGGTGAGATCACAGCAGGTGGAAACTTTGACTTCACCTCCTTGTAAAGGGCTGAGCAGAGCACCCAGTCGGGTGCCATCCTGGATTTCTGATCTGTGACAGGAGAAATGGATGTGTTTTTTTTTTTTTTGTTTTTTGGGGGTTTTTTAAAGATTTTATTTATTTATTTGACAAAGAGAGAGCACAAGTAGGCAGAGTGGCAGGCAGAGTGGCAGGCAGAGTGGCAGGCAGAGGGAGAGGGAGAAGCAGGCTGAGCTGAGGAGGGAACCCAACACAGGGCTCAATCCCAGGACCCTGGGATCATGACCTGAGTCGAAGGCAGACATTCAACCAACTGAGCCATCCAGGCACCCCTGCATGGTTCAAAATTATACAAAAAAGTTATACAGTGAAAATTGTCCCTTCCATGCTTGTTTCAGTTTCCTGTTTTTCTAACCAGAAGCAGCCCGTGAGAGGCAGTTCCTACTCTTCCATAGACAGTCTCCATCTATCTATCTATCTACCTACCTACCTTCCTACCCACCTGCTTATCCCCAGATACTGTTTTTTTCCTCCTTTTTACAGAAGTGGTCCAGACCGTGCACGACATTTTTGCATCTTGTTTTTTTCAATAGGAGATTGTTCCTATGAAATTGCTAGTGTTTTTGTTAGGATAGCAGTAACAAGTTAATCAAATGTCGACGGGAGGTTTGACATCTTCATGATCTTGACTCTTCCTGTTCAGGAACATGATAGGCCTTTCCATTCGCTCACGTGTTTTGTGTGCTCAGCATTTCCTATATTCTTCATCTTTATCTTGAATATTTGTTAAGTGTATTCCTAGGTGTTTTATATCCTTTCTTCCTTTGTATCTTCTGATTCTTGTTAGCATATATAAAAGGCACCTTGCTGAATTCTCTTACTGTTTATTTAGAATAGTGTTTTGGCTAATTCTCTTTGGGTTTTCCATGTATGTAATCATATGATCTGCAAATGGTGATGAATTTACCTACCCTTTCCCTATTTCATGCCTCTAATTTCTTTCTCTTGTCCAATTACATTAGCTGTTCCTCCCGAAAAGGTTAAAGAATAAATGGAAGAAGGTATTGTTTCATACTTTAATGAAAGTGCTTCAGGAAGATGACATTTGGATTGTTTTTGTAAGTGTTTATCTTATTCTATTTTGTCAAGAATGTTTATTAAAAATGTATGTTGAAGTTTATCAAATGCCCTGTTCATATATATTGATAAGACTGCTTTTATCCCCCTTATTTTTCCTATTAATATTATCATTATAATAGTAGAGTTCCTAATATTAAACCATCCTTGGCTTTCTGGATGAAGCCTTGCTTTGTTATGATTTAAAGTCATTATTAGGGACACTTGGCTGGCTCAGTCAGTGGAGCATGTGACTCTTGATCTGGGGGTCATGAGTTCAAGCCCCACACTGGGTGTAGAGTTTATTTAAAATTTTTTTTTAAAGATTTAAAATTACTGGGATGCCTGGGTGGCTAAGTCGGTTAAGCATCTGACTTTGACTCAGGTCATGGTCTCCAGCTCCTGGGATCGAGCCCAGCTGGTCTGCTTGTCCCCCTCTCTCTCTCTGGCCCTTGTGCTCTCTCACTCTCTCTCAAATAAATAAATAAAATCTTAAAAAATATATTTAAAATTACTAACTTGCTGTTGGGTTGTATTTACTTATACTAACATCTTTCTTTTTTTTTTAAGTAAACTCCACACCCAATATGGGGCTTGAACTCATGATCCTGAGATTAAGATCTGATATGAGCTCAAGAGTTGGACGCTCAACGGACTGAGCCACCAAGGTGCCCCTACTCACTAGCATTCTTGAATCAATATTCATAACTGAACTCCGCCTATGGTTTTCTTATATTGGGCATATTGTCTGATGCCTGAGTTGACCTCCATGCAGAGGTGTGGAGGCCGCTCCAGGACCTTCTGCATCTGGAGCTTGTGAGGAAGGGCCAGACTGGAGAGACAGGTTGGTGAGTCTTTCACATATAGGCAATATCTTGTGCTGAAACATGGATAAACCTGGAAAACATCATGCTAAGTGAAAGAAGCCAGACACAAAAGGCCACATATATGATTCCATTTAAAGATTTTTTTTTTTAAGATTTTATTTATTTGACACAGAGAGAGAGACAGCGAGAGAGAGAACACAAGCAGGGGGAGTGGAAGAGGGAGAAGCAGGCTTCCTGCTGAGCAGAGAGCCCAATGTTGGGTCTCGATTCCAGGACCCTGGGATCATGACCTGAGTCGAAGGCAGACGCTTACGACTGAGCCACCCAGGCGCCCCTAAAGATTTTCTTTATGACAGAGAGAGAGAGAGAGAGAGACAGCACAAGCAGGGGAGAGGGAGAAGCAGGACCCTGGGATCGTGATCTGAGCGGAAGGCAGACACTTAACCGACTGAGCCACCCAGGCGTCTCTATGATTCCATTTCTAAAAACTGTCTAGAATATGTAAATCTAGAGAGACAGAAAGTAGATTAGTGGTTGCAGGGGCTGAGGTTGGGTGGGTGGGGATGGGAATGACTGCTAATGGGTAAGGGGTTTCTCTTTAGGTGAAGTGAATGTTCTAAACTTAGGTTGTGGTGACGAATTGCCCAACTCTGTGAATATACGAAAACCATTGAATTGTACTTTTTTTTTTTTTAAAGATTTTATTTATTTGACAGAGAGAGAGAGCGAGAGCAGGAACACAGCAGGGAGAGTGGGAGAGGGAGAAGCAGGCTTCCCGCTGAGCAGGGAGCCCCATGCAGGGCTTGATCCCAGGATCCTGGGGCCATTTCCTGAGCAGAAGGCAGACGCCTAAAGACTAAGCCACCCAGGCGCCCCCCAATTGTACATTTTAACGAGGTGGATTTTATGGTATGTCAATTATATCCCGAGTAGAATGTGGGGGGAGGAAAAAAGAAACTGAGAAGTGGCTAGACTGTGGAAGGAAAATTTGCTAACTGGCATGAGGAAGCTGCTCTCATCCTGGGTCAGGGCTGGAAGCCCCAGTGGGAGGCCACTTCTCACCTTTGTGGCAAAATGGAGGAATGTGGACTGGGGACGGGAGTACTTGGCAACAAGATCCATTCTAGGGTATCATTCTTCCTTGCTGGAAGTCGTTCTGACCCAGCAGCCAAAGGGAGGATCAGTTTTAGAAGGAACACTTCCCCAGGAGGAAAAGATTTGCTGGCAGGACGCGACAGGAAGATGGGTGGGCCAGGCGGGAGAGCCTAGACTAGCCCAACATAAAGAGGTGGCCAGGCCGGCCGTGGACGGGACGAGAGCGGTACAGGAGGAGGTTCTGGAAAGTCAGACGCCCTCAGAAGGCCTGGCCGAGGTCGGCGATGGGGTGTCTGGAGGACATAGTCCTGGCAATCTGTCCCACGTCTCCCTAAGCCAGTGGGGAGTAACTCTTGGGATCCCTGCGAGCACGAGAAGTCCGCCCAGGAAGGCGCACGATCTAGTCCTAGCCAGCAGGGACCTGAGCCGCGCATGCCCAGAGCACCCGGTGGGCGTGCCGGAGGTGGGCGGGGCGAGCGGGGGGCGGGGCCGAGCTGTGAGTGGGGCGCGCTGCTGGGCGGTGGGCGACCTCTGGGATGGTGGGACGCTGTTCGAAGCAGGTGGAGGATTGCACTGCCAAAGTGATCCAGAAGCCACCGAGGTGGGGCTCCGGCCATTGGAGGCGGGGATCGAGGACGCTGGGAGAAGGCGACAGGTGTGGCGTCACCTGCACGAAGTACTGAGTCTGGTGAGGGGGTGCTCAATGGGCCCGTGCTGCAGGTGGAGGTGTGAAGACTGGAAACTTGAGAAGGGGAGACTGGAAATGAGTCACCAGTTCTATGGCCGGCGCTGGAGTGTCACTCTTAGACCCATTTGAGTGCTGGCCCGATTTTCAAATGAAGAAAGGGAAAATGACTTGTTCTGAATCCCAGAGTTGGGATGCTGGGTGGGAGGCAGGATTTGAACTGGATCCCCTGATTCCAAAGCCACATCTGGCGCTCCTGTATTGGAGTTTAAGGGACAGGTGAATGGCCTAGAACAGAACTGGACAAATATTACCCCTACAGGATCAGATAGTAAATACTGTATTTTCTGCCTTGAGGGTCAGGAGGCATGCTATTATATAGGTAAGTACATAGTATAAGAAGAGATGAGGGGCACCTGGGTGGCTCAGTCGTTAAGCATCTGCCTTTGGCTCAGGTCATGGTCCCAGGGTCCTGGGATCGAGCCCCACATCCCTGCTCGGCGGGAAGCCTGCTTCTCCCTCTCCCACTCCCCCTACTTGTGTTCCCTCTCTCCCTGTGTCTCTCTCTGTCAAATAAATAAATAAAATCTTTAAAAAAAAAGAAGAGATGAAACAGGGGTGTCAGCTGGATCAGTCGGTAAAGCATGTGGCTCTTCATCTCAGGATGGTGAGTTTGAGCCCCACCTTGGGCATAAAGATTACTTTAAAAAGGAGGGAAAAAGGAAAAAAAAAAAAAAAGAGAAGAGATGAGACATATCTCCATATGCTTTTTACTGACAGACTATCTTTATTTACAGACTCTAACTTTGAAATTCATGGAATTTATGTGTCATGAAATACTATTTTGTTTGTTTTTGAGAGAGAGAGACCGAAGTGTAGGAGTGGGGTAGGAGCAGAGGGAGAGAGAGAATTTTTTAAACTTTTTTAAAAAAGATTTTATTTATTTGTCAGAGAGAGAGAGAAAGCATGCACAAGCAAGGGGAGTGGGATGAGGAGCAGAGGGAGAAACAGCTTCCCCACTGAGCAAGGAGATGAAAGTGGGACTCCACAGGACCCTGGGATCATGACCTGAGCCGAAGGCAGACCCTCAGACTGAGCCACCCAGGCGCCCCAGAAAATGTTAAATTATACATGTGTTTGCATTTGTGGCATCATATTTCTGTGATGCAGCACCGCTGGAGATGTAGGCTGGGGGGACATGGGATGGGATGGCCCCTCCATTTGTGTTGAGGGAGGCGGGAGGAGGTGTGGCCTGGCTTCAAGCAGTGGAATGTTGGGCCACGTGGGGACAGCGGGTTTCATTAAGGAGAGGTGGAGGGGCAGGCTGGGGGGGGGTGGTACCAGACCGAGGAGGCTTCTGTAGGACTCTGTTTGAGATGGGGGGATGCTTCAGGGACCAGGAGGAAGGAGCTGTTTTGGGGGGCAGCCCAAGCTAGCTTTGCCTTGCCCTTGGCTGTGGAGGGAGTAGGGAGGTGCCAAGAAGAGGGTACCAGCCTGTGGCTTCCTGTTTCTGGGGGGAGGAAGGCAGAGTTCCTGCGTCCATGTCTGAGCTCCCTGGGCGTAGGAGGTGGAAACCTCAGCGGGCCCCTGGTCTCTTGCCTGCAGCTGCCTGGGGCTCGGAGCGGAGCCCCGGGGGTGGAGAGGACCCGACTGAAAGAAGCGTGGGTTCCAGGCCTGGTGGCACTGGACGGTTACCCGCACTCCACCTCCACGCTGAATGTCTGTGCCCTTCCCCAGCTCATATGTTGCAATCCTAACCCCCAGTGGGATGGTATTCAGAAGTGGGGCATTTGGGGGGCTGGAGCCTTCCACCCTGTGAGGATGCAGGGAGAATCAGCCATCCGTGAGCTGGGTAGCGGGCCCCCGCCAGGCACTGGGTCAGCCAGCACCTTGATCTTGGACCTCCAGCCTCCAGAGCTGTGAGAAATAAATGTCTGTTGTCGTAAGCCGCCTAATCTACCGTAGGTTTGTTGTAGCAGCTTGAACGGACTGAGGCCCTTTCCTTCTATGACCTTTGGTTTTCTTCTCTGTTAATGAGGGGCTTGGACTTACCTTTGAAATGGATCCTCTCTTGATCCCTTGCTAGCCATTGCAAGAAATGGGTGACGTGAGGTTAGAGTCAGGTGTAGCCCGGAAGCGAGGGGGCTTTCCCCCGTGGTGCGGGTGGTTTCCTCCTTGACAGAAGCAGACAGTATCTGCCCACCACCTTCCCTGCCAGGCTCGGCTTTCAAAGCCCACCCCTGGGTAGTTCTGGTCCAGCTTTCCAGCCTTCCTGCCCATCCGCCCCCCCATGCCTGGGCCAGGGTCATAACTATGTATAGACACAAAATTCTGCCCACTCACCCTCCTTAATTTTTTTAAGTTGTTTTTTTTTTTTTTTAAGATTTTATTTATTTGTTTGACAGAGAGAGGTAGAGAGAGTAGGGGGAGCAGCAGAGGGAGAGGGAGAAGCAAGCTCCCTGCTGATCAGGGAGCCCAACGCGGGGCTCAATCCCAGGACCCTGAGATCATGACCTGAGCTGAAGGCAGCCGCTTCACCGACTGAGCCACCCAGGTGCCCCACCCCCCCTTTTTTAAAGCTTTATTTATTTAAGTAATCAGTATACCCAACGCGGGGCTCGAACTCACGACCCTGAGATCCAGTGTCTCCCGCTCCCTGCCCGAGCCAGCCAGGCTCCCTGTCCTCCTTAATGCCTCTCATTGCCCCTCCTTTCCTGGACTCCTGCCATCGCCGTCATCACTGGCTTCCTGTTTCCTGTGGATAAACGGATCCCTTCGTCAGGGCGCAGTCTAGATCCCCTCTGTCGGGTGGGGCTCCTTGCAGTCTTTGAACCCTCTGTGCCTTCGCTGGGTGGGTCTCTGCCTGCACCCACTCCTCCCCCATCTCTGCCCGGAGAACCCCCCCATCCAGTGCTCATGGTGCAGCCGGGCATCTGTCCTTCTCACCCACCTAACTGACTTGGCTCGGCATCCCTCCCACATGTCTTGTCCCCCTGTGCCAGGGCGGGGGATGGCCTCTGATGGTGGAGGCCAGCAGGTTACCCAAGACAGGGGCCTGGTGACCTCCTCCGAAAATCGAGTGGAGGACAGCTTGCCTCTTACGTCTCCCTTCGTCATCATCGACACTTTGGTTGTCGGAAGCCTGTCGTGAAGCAGGGGCCCCAGGGTGTCCTTGCCTTCCTCGTGCAAGTAGCTAAGCTCGTTTCTCAGTGGCCCTTGTGAGGCAGCCCGACAGCTCCAGGCGCACGGTGTGAGTAGAAGCCAGGCCTGCTCCTCCCAGGCCTGGGCCCCCAAGACGCACACGATCCTTCCTGCTTGCTTCCTTCTGCCGGCTGCAGGCGCCTGATAAGGCGCGAGGGGGGCTGGCGCCCCAAGATGAAGGGGACTGTGCCCTTAAATGTCGCATGGAGGAGAGCCACTTCTCTGCGCATGACGGAGGAAGAGAGGCAGGTTGTTGGGGCCCAGATGGCAGATCGGGTGGGGGAGGCGAGGGAAAGGGCCGCTGAGGCTGAGCCACCCCTGCTCTGGGCCTGCGCACGGAGCTAATAGCAGATGTGTTCTCTGTAGACAAGGACACCATGGAGGGGCCGGGCTGGGGGGGCGGGGGTGTCCCGTCTGGGACATGCTGAGATGGAGGGGCTTGGTGACACCTCAGGAGGACTGATCAGGGTGGTTATCCTTGAGGGGTTAGAGCTCAGGAAACAGGTCCGTCCTGAGGGCCGTGGGCATGCTGATGGCGCGGGGTTGAGGGGAAGCC